GGAAAGCAGGGTGTGAGCATAGTTCCTGGGCTTTTGCAGAAAACTAAAGCAGACCCTCTTACTTATTCTGAGGCCAAGAAAAATGTGGGGGCAATTCTTGAACAGGGCTGGGGTATCCCCTGGGTTAGATGCATACTTAGCATGCAAGAGGCCCTGGGTTCAATGCCTGCCTCTCCCAAACATCCTAAAGTAAAGGTGAGCGTGTCTGCTTGCACCCCCAATAACAGAGCACACAATAGCAGTTTTGGAAGAGTTGGGGAGGCAGTGTTTCTGCACAGCTCTAGAGGTGTGGTATTCTTTCTCCCTCACTTCCTCTCAGTGAGCCGGTTTCTGTGGCCACATGGAAGCTGACTCTGGCATGCACTGTGTCCTCTCTAGCTTTGCCTGTTCCACTGCAGAGATGCTTCACCGGTGGGCAGAAGCCAAACGTGCGGGTAGGTGTAGCACTCATGCTGGGGAGTGCCGCTGCCTCCTGACCCAGAGGCCCTGGCAAGGAGAGCTCAGCCTTCCACCGGCCCACCCCCATTCAGCCGGGGGCTTTGTGCTCCCTGCCTCACAAAAGGCCCTTGCAGGAAACCCATTAGGTAGATGTTCTTTCTGATCAGGAGGAGAAAGGCTCAGCGTCCTGGGAGTCTGCTACAAACTCGGTTCCTGCGTGAATTCGCTGTGGGGCTGCGGTTTGAACACAGGGCTGTCGGCTGCAAAACTCTTTTCCAGCAATCCCACAGGCTTCAGTGCCTGAGGCAGAAGATTCCAGTTCAAGCTCAGCCTGGGCAACTTAGACCCTGTCTAAAAATAAAATATGAAAAGGTCTGGACCCTAAAAAAGGGCTCCATGGTGGGGAGCCCCACCCACAATCTTATCCTGTCCAAAACCAGACAAAATCCATGGATTTCCACCGATCCGTACTTCTCTTGGTGCTGAGGGTATTGTAGAAGTATTTACACGAAACTCCTGGAGCCCAGACTGTCTGTGAGCTTGTGCTTAAGACTGGGTGTTGGAAAATGAGATCAGCCTAAGGCTCCTTCCTGAGCTCCAGTCTTTTCCTAAACAAATAGATATTGGGGAGCAATCCTATCCATTGTCCTTCTGAGTTTTCCTGGGGAAGACTCACCCGACCTTCAGAGCAAGGCTTCTGGGTCATCATGGGGCAATGATAGTGGTACTCTGGGAGGTACCTTGCCACGGAGTAGTCAAAATCACAGAGACAGAAGGTAGGAAGCTGTTGCTAGGAGCTGTGGAGAAGGGGAAGTGGGCCAGTGTTTAGTAGGGTCAGAGTTTCAGTGTTACAAGATGTCAGGAATTCTGATGAGAGCCACAGCACTATAAGGCTATTTAACATCCCTGAACTGTGCACTGAAAAGTAGTTAAGATGGTGAATTTTGTTATGCGTATTTTACCATAATAAAAATCGGGAAGTATAGCAGCCTTGGGAGAGGCCTTGGGAAGAGCAGAATTCCGCAGAGGGCGGCCACCATCAGCTTTCAGGAGTTACTGTCTTGTTATATTTGTGAGGAGCATGAAAGTAAAGCTGCCAAAAACCCCGAGGGGACCGCAGCAGAACCCAGACGTCTTGGGTCAGTCAGGGTGCAGGCAGCTGGGGCCTGTGACTACCCATCCAGAGAGCAGAGAAAGGGACAGCAAGAAAGAGGAAAGCTAGTGGAGGGGGCTGAGGCTGGGAAAGGAGGAGGGTGAGCCGGGAGGCTGACAGTCCCTTCCAGACAAAGGGCGTGGAGGGGGCGAGCACCCCAAAGGCCCTCTGGACAGATGGATGCTGCTCCGGTCTTCCACAGTCCTTGCAAACAGGGATCCTCACTCTTCTGTGCCGAATGCTGGGCTGGATCCCTCCAGGGTGTCACCGCAGTCCCTTCTGCAGAAGGAAGTGCTGCACAGGGCCTCGAGCCTTGAGCACTTGCCTCTCCCTGGTCTAGGGAGGCAGCCTGGGCCTCCCGAGGGTGAAAGGGCAGCCGGGAAGCTGCTCTCTGAGGCCCTTTGTTTCCGCTCCAAGCTGGCGCAGGGCTCAGCCCCTTGTGGGGTGGGTGTACGGCCTATGGGGCGGGTCCTGGGCTCAGGACCCCAAGTTGTGCTTTCCCAGACTACCTTCCCTGGACATGCTGGGCTCTGGATCTGGGGAGTTCTTTCCTTTGCCAGTAGGGTGGAATGGGGCACTCTATGCTTCTCTGCCCCCCCCCCCCCCCGCTGGCCCTGTTGCTGGAGAAAGGTGCATTTCACCTGGTCTCTGGGATCCAAGGTATACTTATTATGGGGGAATCCTCACCCCAAGAGAGGAACACCCCTAGACCCCTCTGGGGGGACTGGGCCCAAAAGAAGTGTCACCCAGGCAGCTAGCAAAGGACTATCACTAGCACCAACAATAACAACACCATCCTCTTCTTTACATCAGGAGCCAGAAGCGCCCCACCACCATGCTTGATTAAATCCCATCATTAGGAGTCACTTTAATGAATATTGTTACATTTCAGGCAATTTCCAGAATGACCCTTTCTTTTTCAGGGGAGGGCAAAAAAAAGTTTAATGAGGGATTTGAGGTTATTAATAAAAACGTGAATCGTCTATTTGGGGTTCCTGCCGCACGCATGGCTCTCCAGTGTGTCCACCATCCCTCCCCTTGTGCCCTGCAGCCTGCCAGCCCTGGGGTCCTAGGACCCATGCTGTGCCCGCTGCAGGCTGCCTGTTTCTGCTTTGAGGCTTAGGGAGGGCCCAGCCCTCTCTGGGATAGCAGAAAAGAGGTTTGAGAGGAGCTGAGTGTCAGCCTGTTGGGGTGGGGAGCCCAGTGTCCCCGTTGGCGATCTCTGCTCAGCCCCCGTGGTGCACCTGCGTCTATGGTGGATCTCCAGCTCCCTGTGTACAGTGCGGTGTGCACAGCGCGGTGCGCACAGCACGGCTTGGCTCTCAAGGCTGCTCCGCCTGGAAGGCTGCAGTTTTCGGCGGAGCCGGGACCCTAGGGGCGCTCTAATGCTGCGGAGGAGCACTCAGAGGCCGCTGCGGTTGGATATTAAATCAGCGGGAGACAGAATGACTTTTCACAGAGCCCGATATTTGCATATATAGTGTCTGGGTGTCTGCCGGGTACACCTGTGCCAAGCTGCCCGGAGCCCCTGTGGATCTGCCTGGTCACTCAAGGAAAGAGCACTGGAGAGCTGTTGGTGACCACACTGGTCTCCCTCCCTCTGCTCCTGAGGGGAAAGCACAAGGTGGGTCCATACTGGGATCCTCGGGCCCCTTAAACCGTGGCTCCAGGCTTCAGGTCAGAACCTATGCATCCAACACCCTGTTACCAGAGCCAGGGGCAATGGGAGCAGAATTAACCCCCTGTCAGGCACAGGGCGCTGGATCCACTCGGTGAGCCTTGTCAGGATACCTGGGAAGCCAGGCCTGCAGACTTCAGAACTTGTCTATTTCTGCTGCGTGCTCACTGCTGAGGCAGTGCACTCAGCTCTAGGCCAGGGCCAGGCAACCAGCAGAGAGACATGGTTACTGGGCTCCAGCCCCCCAGGACCAAGGACCGAGGCACTTCACAAAGTAGCCTCTCTCTTTGGAGCACTGTGGAAACCCGTCTCCTGCGGAGGACCATCTGGCCTAGCCCATCGGCCTGGCTGCCCTAACTCAGGCGACACCTCTTGGGCCTTCTGCATTTGGCATCCTGCTCTGAAAAGGATTTGGGGGCTTTGGAGGCCCCTGCCAAATTCTGGCCTCTACTTACTGTGGTGAAAGCGGGATGCTTCGGTTACAGTCTGTTGAATAAGAGTTAACACACAAAGAAACCCAAAGGCTCTCTCCACACCCAGTTCCATCCTGCACTGGAGCCCCTGGAGCCACAAATGCAAACTTCTCCCTCTCACTGGGAGCCTGAGGTCCCAGTGAACTGGGGAACTGGGGCCCCAGTACCTTACAGCGCTGCACGTTGCCTTTTTCCAGTGTTGAGCTGAAAACGGAAATTTTAAAAGATTGTTTAGTATTGATGAGTAATTTTTATTAAAATGAGCGAGGCCTACAGAGTGTTAGAAATTGTGCTAGTATTTTGTGTTTTGCTTTGCCTCTTTTTTAACATAAGAGCCAAGAGCCTCAGGAGGTGTGCTGAAGTTGAGGTTCCAGGACAGTCTGCATAATCCTAAAAGCACTGAGCTGACCCCAGCCTGCTCCAGCGGGTGTGCAGAGGGTGGGGGGACAGCTCCTCAGTCCTGTCCTTCCAGCAAACTCAGGTCACGGCTCATCCTGCGCCCTGGGGCAGGTCACACAAGAAACGCCTAAAAGCTGGCCCTTGGTCACAGATTATTTCTCAGGGTCTGAATTTCTAGTACTGAGAGAAGGAAACTTTTTCTTTCTTTCAACCCAACCAAGTTTAGAAACAGCAATGAGCTTCATGCACCTCAGTGCTCCTTGAACCTCCCTGACTTTTCTGTTTGAAATGCTGTACAATAACTTTTTGTTTATTTGTTTTTTTCTTTTTTCTTTTTTTTTTTTTTTTTTGGTACCGGGATCGAATTCAAGACCCCGTGCTTGCAAGGCAGGCGCTTATGCTGCTAAGCTAAATCCCTGGCTCTGTACAATAACTTTTACTTTGGGGAGTGAAAACAATCAAAAAGGTGAACAAATATGACCCAGAAAAGAAGAAGGTCCTGGATCTCATCCCGCCCCCAGCCGAGCCTCCTTTCCTCCTTCTTCCTCCTTGTAGCGCTGGAGTGCAGCGTGCTGAGCAGAGACCTGTTGAACTCTGCTGACGAACCATAAACAGGCTCCAGCGATTCCGATTCCTTCTAGTGATAAAATGTGGACAGAAGTTATTTTGTTTGCTCTGTGCTCACATGTGAGGTATTCAAAACCTAGTACTTTTAAAAATTAGGAATCCACTTGTTTCAAGAGTAGGTAGCCTCCCTACTAGGGGCACCAGGCAGGTAAACGCAGGCCTGTGGCTGGTGGCCGGGCATCGGCTGGACTCAGAAACAGGGAAGCCAGTCATGTCACCTGGAACTCTAATGTTTGTAATAAAGAGGTGTTTCTTTTTATTTATTGTAACTTTCAAAGAAGGTTAAACACACAAAAATGCGCGTGGGGGGATGGAATGTTCACAATTCTGATAACCACAGTTGTAAATAGAAACATTCATTCATTTCTCATAAGATTATAAATATTTGATACTCAGACTGTCAAATGCACATCTTAGAAACTAAAAAAAAAAAAAAAAAAAAAAAAAAATCAACACGTTTGCTTCCTGCTAAAAAAAGGCCCGTCATTTCATTGAATTTCCTAAGCAGTAGATGGTTACTCACAGAATTTTAAAGTACAGCTTTTGTTTTTATAATTTCCTTTTCAAAAAGGTTTATACTATTATGTACAAAGTGAAACTATTATTGAAGTGAAATAAAGAGTTTAAGGCAAAGAGACAAGTCCGCCGCCGCCCGCAGTGTTCAGCAGGGCCGTGGGCACATCCCCTGGGCAGCCCAATTCTGGCCTCCATGAACATATGGACATCTTTTCTGGACACTAAACAGAAGACAGTGTGGTGTTCTATATAATGTGTTTGCTCATATATATATATGTACTTGGTGAAGAATATATTGAATATATTTAATTTACATTGTACCACACCTTTGAAAAATAAAATGTACATTTTTTTAAAAAAACAAGAAAAGACAAAAAGTGATTAAAAGTGATTATTTACACCCTTTCTTCCTTCTAGATCCCTAAAGGGGTCTGAGTGTCTTTGAAAGTCAAGGTAGGCACAGGTTCCAGAACTGGGTCTGGTACATGCCTGCTGTGTGTGTGCACAGCTCACACAAATACGTACACACATGTGTGTTTACCTTGGAAGAACAGCAGAAGTGGCTAAAACAAATGAAAGGGGGATAAACAGGAAAAGGAAAGGAGCAGAATGCCAACTCCCTCTGCTCATGCTTTGGCGAAGACCTTGCTAGCTGGGGCCTGGAGGAGGGGCATACCAATCTCGGGGGCTCTGGGTCCCACACCCCAGCCCCTCACTCCAGAGCACAGCAGAAGAGCCGGCATGGGAGGGCTGTCGCAGAACAGGGCACAGCAACACAGATGTGGCCGGAAGTACGGAGAGAGATGCGAGCCAGGCCCAGAGGAGACTGGGAGGAGGACAGCAGGAGGACTGAAAGGAGAGGGGCAGGGAGTCCCAGAGCTGGGCCGAGGGCAGTGTCAGGCCTGCTCCCAAGACAGGCCTGGTATCACTGAGAGGCCACTTTCAAGGCCAAGACTGGACCTCAGCCAAAGACCCTGGGCTCTCCTATTTCTGCTAAGGTCCCTGGGTCCCAAAGGCCCGGGCTCTGGGCTCTGGTTTGGGCCTCTGCTGTCCTGTCCAAGCCAACACAAACAAAATGGCAAAACTCATAGACCAAATAGGAGCTATTTATTCTGTTCACAGTTGTGTGAGATGCAGCAATAAAAATCTTTGGACTTTAGCAAGTTGTTTTAATTTTTTTTCTTCTTTTGAAATAATAATAATAATAATAATAATAATAATAAAATGTCTGATGTGCCATAATGGAGCTTAGGGGATTAAAAAAGATGAGACCCTAAGCAGCCCCCTTTGCAAAAGAAAAGAAAAAGAAAAAAATCATAAAATTAGCATAACCTTGTAAACACAGAAAATCAAAAAAATATTTTATAGTCCAATATTTTGGATTTTACAACACCTGTAAATTATATACACATAGAATATTGCAGAACCATAGCTAATACACAATATTTTCACGATTAATGCTGGTATAAGTTTTATACACTGGCCCTTTATGATTTTAAATTATTGCATTGTTTTTGCGCGGCCCGCAGGCCTTGCCCACCCTGCTCCTACTCGCTGTCCGACTTGCCCTCCTTTGCCGTGGTGGAGTGGTTGTACAGGCCTTGGGCCATGAGGTGCACGGCCAGCGTGTTCTTGTTGCCGGTGGCCTTCTTGATCTTGGCGCGCTTGTTCTGGAACCAGATCTTGATCTGGGACTCGTTGAGGCTGAGCTCCTGCGCCAGGCTCTGGCGCCGCTGCTCCGTCAGGTACCTGTTGGTCTGGAACTCTGCCTTCAGCCTCTGCAGCTGTTCGGCAGTGAAGGCGGTTCGAGGCCGCTTATCCTCTTTGTTGGGGTTCTTCTTCTTTGGTTTTCGGGACCGGGGACCTGGGAGGGAGAGCAGCAGAGAGGAGGTTACAGTCTGGCAGCAGGGCACCTCCTTCCCAGCAGCAGTTCCCAGTCTTGCCGTCAGCCGCAGGCAATGGCGTGCAGCAGCCAGGAAAGCTACAGAGTCCGGAGAGAGGGGAAGGGACGGCCCACAGCCACTGAAGGATGGTGTCTGGGGCTAGGCAGGCAGCCCCCAGCCTCCATGCACAGAAATGTGGGTGTATAGTGGATTAGGTGTACGGCTGGCCAGGCAGAAAGGCCCTACGAACCAGAGGGCTCCACATAAAAGGAAAAAACTTTTTGGCCAAGTTTCTTTTTCTGATCCCTCCCTCCCTTCTGTGTTCTCTCTCTGGAACCAAGGGTAGGGTAGGTGCTCAGAGAGAAGTGAAGGGGTCAGCCTGGAGAGGGCCATAGGCAGGCAGTCAGGAGGAGCCCCCAGGGAGCATCGCATAGTGTGCCAGGAGCAGAGGGTTCCCCAAACTGGAGGGGCCCAAAGAGGCCTGGACACCCCAACTCCCTGGACTTCTCCAGCTGTCCCGAGGGCCTAAGTTCATTGTCCCCTTGAAGAACAGGGTGGTGCAGAATCTCTCCCTCTGGTAGGGAAGCTCCCTGTCTAGGAGGGCGTGGGCCTTGTGTGGGTGCTGAACACAGTGGACTGGACACTCTCCATGTCCCCAAAGGGCAGCAGCCCAGCTGACCTTGAGCAGGTCTACATCTCAGACTCCAGCCCTTACCTAGGCGGTGCCTCACTGACCCTGCACTGGCCAGGGTGGTGGGTGAGTTAAGGCCTAGGGATGGACACAGGAAAGGAATGATGAGGACAGAGAAAAGGAACTAAAGGCCTTTATGGTTGCGGTCAAGAGCTCAAATCCCAAGCTCCCTGAGTGCAAAAGCCTGGCCAGGCCACTGGCAGGGAATGATGACCTTGCCTCTTCTTTCTCCACAGCTGATCTGCAAAATCAACTCGGCCTCCGCAAAGGTTTGGTTTCCTAGAGCCCCTGCGGCTGGAAGCAAAGAGGCAAGAGAGGGCAGATCCTCCCCTATTCAGGGCTGGGACAGCCGGGTTACTCAGAGAAGCTGGGGTACAGCCCATCCAGACTGGAAGAGTGACAGAGCTGCCTACATGACCAGCAAGAGGGCAGACTGTGGGCTGAGAGTGGGCACTGAGGGACAGCTCCCCTCGGCTAGCCTAGTGGACTCCATGAAGGCGAACCTGGCAGAGTAGCTATAGGCACAAGGGGGAGCGCAGGGGCAGCTCGGCTGTGCTCACACTCATCATGCCTTAGTTGTAAAGCGCACTCATATTTACTACACTCACATGCCAGCTCGAGCACCCCACTCAACACGTGATGGGTGGGTGCTGCACCTGTGGCCTGGCCTTGCTGGGGTCAGGGGTGCGGTTTAGCTCACTAGCACCCAGGAGGGGGCCAGAGATAGAACTGGAGAAAGGAGAGGCCCTGGCGCCAGCACTTGCTCGAGCTGATGGTGGTCTGGGCTAGGCTCAGGCTCAGGCTCTGGGTCTCCACTGCTGCCTGCCCCAGAAGCGCTCTCCTTGCCCTCAAACTCCTGTTGTGGTTCTTGTTCACACACATACCAACCAGCCTCAAAAAGACACTGTTTATGAAAACAGCATCAAATGGTAATAAAATACCATTTTTCTGTGTTCTCTTTCAAAAGAGAAACATTCTAGAGGGTCAGATATAGACTCAACCTCCGTGAAAACTCTCTGCCCCTTTTTTCATAATCGTCCAGGAGCTGAAACACTACTTACTGGGTGTGGTTTTACAAAACCCAGCAGGATCTGTGACTTGGGGGATCAGGGCCATGCAACGGGCTTCTGGGACCACCAGCCACTGGACTCGGCGCCGCCGCGCAGGCAGGCAGGACGCCTACAAAGCCCAGTGCGGCTCTCAGCCGGCCAGCGCTGTGAGCCTATATGTTAATTAAATATTAACAAAGGAGGCAGCTGAGAACAATGGCGCAAATTTCAGGTCTAGCTGGAGAAATTTGGGTTTCACCAGAAATACACACATAGACACATTTCTGGGGGAAGGCAGCCCAGGGTCACCTCGGTCCTGTTGTAGTGTGTATCAAGGACCTCGCAAAACAGTCTCGAGTTGGGGGACAGAGGAGGCCCCCTGGCATCTTGAGGATCAATGAAGCACACTCCTAAGGGCCTTTCCCAGCCGCAGACCAGCGTCTAGTGCAGGTGATGATTTCTAGAAGGTCGTGGTGGACTTAGCTCCTTAAAATCACTGATGGATTAACAAAAAAATAGCCGCAGAGCCTCACACACCATCTCCGAAAGCTGCCTCTTCCCCAATCCTGGCACAGCCTGGAAACCCTCAGAAGGGATCTTTCTATCTGGGGAACTCTGGTCCCAGAACAGTTGTGTTCTTCTAAAAGCCGTGTGTGAGAAGCTTCAACAAATAAAGTCGGCAAAGGGAGAAGAGTGAGCATCCTGTCTTTCCCTCCTTCCCTCTGCAATCCCTTCCCCAAGCCTAGGCCTAAGAGAGGAGGGATCCAGGAAAGACAAGCCTTGCTCCTCTGTCCTGGATCACATTTTGGGTAACCAGGTCTAAGAACTCTGGGCCTGGAGATGGTGGCGGTGGCTGGGGATGCATCAGAATCTGGACAGAGGGGAAGATAGGGAAGCAGTTCCGAGTGTGTTCTCAAGGGCCTGTTTTCCAGCCACCCCTGTTTTTGCCAAATAAACTACTGTCTGGAGAAGCGGTGGGTAAGGAGCTGGGAGCATAGGAAAAATACATATGAATATGAAAATATGAATTCGGCTTCCGAGGTCCTAAGGGCAACTGTGCCCCTTCCTGATCCTCCCTGCCCTGTGCCGCCTGCAACTGCTCCAGCCAGTGTCAGCTGCCCATAGTGTCTCTGAGCGTATGCTCAGTGTGCCTCTTTGTGCGTGTATGTGTGTGTTTGTGTGTAGAGAAACGGACGCTTCCCATCTTTTTTCTCCCTGCACCCCCCCACCCGCCGCCAGCGCCATCCCCAGCCCTGCGCACCTCCCGGTGGCCGGCCTCTGGGTTCCGCGGGCTCACCTGAAGAAGGGCGGTCGGAGTAGCGCGTGCAGTAGACCCAGGCCGGCCAGAGCATGGGCTGCGCGCCCAGGGTGGCGCTGGCCTGCGAGCTGTCCGAGTCAGAGCTTATCGACAAGTCACCGCCGCCCAAGGCTCGGGCCTTGAGTGCCCCGTCCAGGGGGCCCCCGGGGTCGCTGCCTTTCTTGGCACCGCCGTGGAGCGAGAGCGTCTTGGAGCCGCCTTCCCCGTCGCCCGGAGAGTCGCTGCCGCTGGCGGGTAACGGCCCTCCCGCACTGGGCGCGCAAGGCGGGTTCTGCCGGTGCTCCCTGGCCCCCGGACCCAGGAGCTGTTCCACGCCACCCGTGACGCCCCCCTCGGCTCCGCCTGTGCCGCCTTCGCCGCTGGCCGAGCTGCCTCGTCCTCCGCCGGCGCCCGCGCAGCAAGTCCCCGCGTCCTTCCGCCGGCCGAACTCGGGCCGCAGGATGTTATCGATGAAGAAGTTGGTGATGCGGTGCGGGTGCTGGTGGTTGCCCGGTGCCTGGAGGACAGCGGGCAGCATCAGCGCGCGCCGGTGGCCGGTGTCTGAGTCGCCCGGGCTGCTGCCGCCGCCGCCGGGGCTGATGTCGGGCTGCCGCTGTCCCTCTGCCGCCGCTGCTGCCTCGCTAGGCTTGGAGTCATTCTCCTCCATGCTTCACAGCGAATCCCGTCTGGGTTCTCCAGAGACCCCAGTCCAAAGCCCCCGAAACCCCCACCGCGCCGAGTCCAGCGAGGGCGCGCTCGGCGGCTGCGGCCAGGGCTGGGATCCTGCGAGTCGCGGGCAGCACTCGGAGCGGAGCCACGATCGAATCCACGAGTTGGGTTGGAAAACTCTGGGCGCCGCGCGGCTCCTAGCTCGCCGGGAGATTCAAACCCCGCAGGTCCTCGTCTTCGCCGCGTGCAGGCTCCAGTCACCACGGGGCTGTCCCGGGCGGGATCCGCGCTCCTCTCCGCGTCCGGCCGCCTCTTCGGCCGCCCGGGGCTGGGGCTGCGCGCATGCAGGCAGCGCGCTCCCCCAGCTCACGCCCGCCCGGGCCCGTTCCGGCCGCCGCCGCCCGGCCGTCCCCGCCCGCGCGCCCCGGCCGGCCCTCGAGGGTGCGGGGCGCGAGCGCTCAGCGCGTACATGGAGGCCCGCGGGCCTGTGCTGGGCTGCGCCGGCCTTGGGGTCCCCCGCGCCCCGCCGCCGACCCGCTGCGGGTCGGGGTGCCCCACGAGCGAGCGGCTGCGCCCCTGCCGAGCCCCACGGAGCCCAGCGGCTCTGGGCGCATGGGTGGGGGCGGGCCGAGCCGGGCCGGCGCACTGGGCCTCCCGCGCTCCCTCGCCGTCCGCGCGCCCTTGCCGCTTCGGCCTCCGCGAGGGTCGGGAAATTTTCAGGCCACTTAGCGCAACCTGAGACACTTTCACTCTGGATTTTTGTTCTTATTTTTAACAGAGCCACCTCGAGTGACGTCGCGGACCGGTCTCCTGGACACGTGCCTCGGGCCAATGGCAGCCGCGCCGCGCGCCCACGTGACATGCCGGCGGCCGCTTGGTGACAGGAGCCACCCGCCGCCCCTCCCCCCCCGCCGCCGCCCCTCCCCCCCTTAAAGTGGCCTCGTTTCCCTGCTCCCAGCCGGAGCCCTCAACCTCGCTAGCCTCGGACCCGATCCTCTGCGTTTGCTTGAATTCTCCGGGTATCTCTTAGCTCAGGGAGCGGAGAAACCCAGCTACAGCCCTGCCAGGTCACCCTGGTGCGCCTAGGTGGACGCAAGCTGCAAGACTGCTATTTTTAACATTTCCATATTGTTTACCGTGGGGAGAAATCCCACAATTCCTTGCACAAATGCATAAATAATATTAAATGAGCTGCCGAGATACAAAGGGACTTTTGTAGTCCGCTTTCCTTGCTGGTGGAGAGGAAAACTGTCACTTACATTTGACTTTGGTAATCCAGCGGCATCCTGTCTTGCATGCAGAGCGGATGCGCAGGACGCTCCTCCTGCAGGCACTTATGATAGGTGTGCGCGCTTGTGCGTGTGCAAGGAGGCGCGTGCACCTAGTAGGATGCCATCCCAGACTCGGGATTTCGGGAAACAAGCGCGGTTCTGGAGCAGCGTGGGGATGCAGTTTGGGGAGCCCTTTGCAGAAGAAGAAATGAAGGGAGCGGGGATAAGTAAATCAGTTTTGGAAAGGAGAAGAAGGCCGATTTTTCAACCAAAAATGCAAAACCATCGGGACGAAAAATACCCGGGAGGAGAGCTGGCACCCGCAATTCCGCCCAGTCTCCCAACCCCTTCTCCTTAACTTCCCTCACTGAGAAGCTACCAGGCACTCATCTCGTTTTAGTACCTTAAGACCCTTTAAACGAGTTTCGTTGGAGAGAAGGATTAATTAGAAAGGAGCACAGGAATCTGATTACAGGCTAGGGCCCCTGTTGGTTTTACTGGCTCTTTTCTTTATCCCCTTCCAAACACCCGAACCACAGCTGCTATCAGAATGTCCGCTTCCTTTTCCTCCTGCATCCTCAAGCTTCAGTTTTGCCCACCTCTCAGCATCAAACACCCTTGCTCCCAGGCTTGCTTCTCCACCTTTTAAACCCCATTTGTATGGAGATGTGTGAATTCTGCAGACCGTCCAAGACTGTGACTCTGAACTGGGAGCGCTGGTGCACATGAGCATGTTTGGTGCAGAGACTGCAGGGGCAGGGGTAGAGAGAGTACCCAGCCCACTTCAGCAGGTCTCACCGCTGTGTGGGGACTCCCTGATCCCAGGCCCATTCTAGGCTGGGCAGCCAGCAGGGAAAACTGCTATGCCCAGAGTAAAGGGCCAGGGTCTGAGCTAGCACTGCTGCAGTGAGACCTAAAGGGCCGTCTCCAGGATGGAGGGTGGAGGGTCCCAGCCTGCCTCAGTATCCTGAGTCCACACATACTGCACGGTCTGCACAGGTTGTGTCCACACAGAAGGCAGGAGTGGGTGAGAAGCTTCAGTTTCCAAGGTGCTGCTGCGGAGAAATTAACTGGGTGTGTGGGAGTGGGGGTGAGGGCTTGGTTCTCAGCACTAAAAGTGGCCTGTAGCCTGTGTGTGGGTAAGTGCTGGAACTAGACAGGGGTCACCTGCAAGTCCAGGTAGGGGTCCAGAGAGAGCTTTTCGCATTCCCACTAGGGTCACTGACAGGAGGGGTCTTCACATTTTTTTTTTCTAAACACACACCTGGTAGGGGTCCTCCCGGTATCTCAAACACCCGCTGTTGGAATGTTCTGTAAATGCTTGCTTAGGGTTGGGGGGGGGGATTGCCTGTGAATCTGAGCACCCTCACCACTGCAGTCCAGTCTAGTCTTTTCCTGTCTCTTGAGTGTGGAGAGGTGGAGGGAGGACCCAGGTCCTTGAGCTCCCTGCAAAGCCATCCTGTGGAAGCCAATCAGGCAGTGTGGTGTGTGCTGAGGAGGATCCTCTGATTTCTTGGGATCCTCCAACTGCCTGAATCTCAGATACCCAGATCCAGGCCCTGCATCAGGGCTGCAACCTGCATTCTAGCCAGCAGCTGTCTGCAGGCGGTCTGGCTTGTGTGGGGGGCTCGATCTCCAGTGTCCTGTGGTACTGTCAAGCTGGGTCATGGGAAGGGAAACAAGCTCCTAGGCTGCCCCAAAATGAGGATTGGAAGGTGTCGGGAAAGGGGATGGAATAATAGGGGAGATAAATAATGTGAAGGAGGGAAGGGGCCGCCCAAAGAGGGACGCAGAAATGTAAATACCTCAGAGGGGGAAGAGTGACTCTCAGGGGTGGGACCCTTTAGAGGGACCTGGAGGAGGTTGAGCGATGCCAGGGCAAAGCTGCAGAAAGTTATACTGTACAAGCTGGAGGGATCTCAAATCACCCTGCAGAGACAGACAGAGACAGAGTTCAGGCAGTGCCTCAGTGAGGGCCTCTTGCCCCTTCCAAAACAAAGCTTGCCAGGCTTTCTGGGGTGCCAGGCAGGGGAGCAGGTCTGCTCTCTCATCTGCCCCTCCGATGGAGACAGGGGACATCTTCCTAGCTGCCTTTTGGCCCTGTGCTGCCAATCTGTGAGCCTGGGCTTCTTGGGCTCCACTGGGCCAGCCACCACTGGAAGCTGGCTTCTCACCCGAAGTACCCAAGGCCCTTTGCCCAGGTCCCCGGTTTCCCTTCACCCTGGCCTGGACCTGGAGCATGCTGTAGTAGCACCTGCTCACACAGAACTGTCCTCCATATTTCTGATGCCAGTTGCACAAAGAGGCTTTGGAGGGCACAAAGGGGACCGCTGGTGTCCACCCCGGAGGACTGCACAGTACTCACGCTCCTGCCACGCATGGACCTGCTTTGGCCGAAAGCCTCCAAGAGACAACGCTTGCTGCTGCTGATCCAGCCTCCCGAGTTTCCTTGAAACGAAGCCAGAGGAGAGTACCGCCCTCAGTCCTTCTGTGTAGGATTATGTACTCCCCTGGCTTCTCTAGGTGCAACTGAGGGTACAGGGAAATCGTGAAAGCAGCGCGAGGGCGGCTTTTGCTCGCATCGCCTGTGACTTGATGCATAGAGAAGCCTGACAGTTCTGGAGAGCGAAACCTCGACGACCCCTCAGAAATTGGGCCTCGCAGCCCTGCACCCGGATCCGGTGGCAAGCCTGAGCCTAGCAGCATAGCATACCCATCGCCTGTGCCCCTCCTTCCTAGTTGAGAGCCATTGTCAGCTCCTGGGCTGCAGCTTAATGTGGCCTATAGACAGAGGCTAAAAAACAGGGGTGCAGGGCATAGGGGCTCAGGGCACAGGGCCGTGGGCAGGCAGCAGGCACTGAGGTCACCTCTCTTGCTCATCTTCCAGCCAGGCAGAGGGATCTACACACTTAGGGCACACACAACTGGAGTCAGGGAACCACAACCAAAAGAATAACCTCAGAAAGGAAGGGGTTAAATGTGCCCCCACGGGCCTGGAAGGGGGCTAGAGACTTGTGAGACAGGGAACATAGACACCCAAATGCACCAGGCTAGGCCACAGGGGGCCATGTCACCCTGCAGGGCTGGTCCGTGGCTAGTGTTCCTGGTAGCTGGGCAGGGGAGGGCAGCAGGCTGGTTCTTCTCCCGTAGCTGAAGAAGTACCTCTGTCCAGTTGAAGCTCATGGGTGTTGGGGTTGTAGTACTTTCTGGGTGTGCCCTCCTCTCTGGGCCACAGGGACAAGACCTAGTCCTGAGCTTAGTTCCAGCACTAGCTTAGGAGGACCGGGATATCCTGCAGGGCAGGTATCCAGCAAAAGTGCCTCTGACCTGGTTTTTCCTGAAAACAGCCACTTAGAAACAAAGGTAGAGGGATGGGCTTGATTGCACCAGCGAACCTCACTCCCAAGTCATCTGTGGGCCACCCATCTCAGGTGATAGTCCCTAGGGCCAGGGCTGTGGCTTCCCATGGCTGGAGTTCCCTAGAATCACTCAGCCCTCCCCACCTTTAACAGCTGCCTTCATCCTGGCAAAATCTGGACCGCTTGGGAATCTGGGCTCTACTCCCCTCCAAGGGGAATTCACCAAACTGACCTATACCCTGCTTAGTGTCCTGGTTCCTGGAGAGAGGTTGGGAGTGTGGGCTGCTCTGTGGGCTAACATTCCAACTCCAAGGCAAATGCCTCTAGCCTGGCCTTCAATATCAGTCGCCCAGAAGAAAGTGACAAATTCCAAATAAGTAAAAAGAGTAAGTCTGCAAGGAGACTGGACGAGTTGCCTGTAGTGCTCCAGCTGGTTAGGCTCAACAGAACAGGAAGTAAACATCCAAAGGGGTAGAGAGTTTTGAAAAAATCAGCACTCTCTCCCATCTTAAAATCGTTTGTACACAGGAGGAATCCTGGAGTCTGCTCACTGCTGTCCGTTTGACCTTTGGAAGGAAAACAAGATGCGCAAAAGAAAGCTCCGACAACACTGCCTCATCTCACAGAGCAGGTAATCACACAAGGGGCAAGTGAGGCCCAAATGCAAACGGGCTTTTGGCATTTTGGAAAACAGGATCTAGATGCTGGGCAGATAGACCCAGGGTTTTAGACAACCATAGGTTTTCGCTCACGCTCACATCATTTACATTGATCCAGACAAACTACCTACAGTCAGTTGAGTGATGACAATCCTCGTTAGGGTAGATTTAGCATATGGAAAATCAAAACAATCTGCTTGTCTTCAAATATCGGTAGCAACTAAAAAGTGCCCAAGTATGTGTAGAATTACATATTGGATACCTCGAAGAGATAGATTTTTAAATGTGTGTTTAAGTTAAAACAATAGAATTGATTTCTCTTGTATTAAAGAGATAAAGACATGCAGTTTTATCGAAAAGGGTGGGTGGCTAAATTTTGAATTAAATTCAAACATTCCCTACACTTGATTAAAATTATTGAACAATTGGAGTTGAAAAAGGTTTGCCATATCTGGAGTGTGTGATCTAATTGG